GTTATTAACAAAACAAAAGACAAGAACATGTAATCCCTCTAGAACAACAATCTACAATGATTTGTTCTTTTCCTGATTTCATTTTAACTTTACCTATAATTTACATTTTATTCTAGTCATTTTATCTAACATTTCTTTTTATATGCAGCATTTCCCCAGACTCCATGTTTTGTTCTTGTTTACAACAAAGCTTTTGTAAAAAAAAAACTGACCCCCAACAGTGCTTTTTAACTTTATTATGAACAAAAAGAATGTGTAGTTTGTTGAATACAGAGCACATTGTGAGCTGAGCAGAATGTATTTGTAAATTTGAGCCTCTCTAGAATGTAACTTGGGTGTGTACGATAATTTTYYTSAAAATACGATAATTTTGAGCTGCTGATACGATAATTCAACATTTCCCATCTGGCAACACTGTGCAGGAGCCTTTAGCATATCTTGGCCCCAGCCTCCTAGCCTCTGTATGTACCTGATTGCGTAAAACCACAATTTGTTTTCAGAGGCACATGCTGTGACCACAGTTACACGTTGATCAATGCCTAATCCTAACCTGCTGTTAAACTCTAACATGATGACACTGAAGAGAAAGAATAAAAACACAAACCTGATGTCTGCAGCTGATGGTTGAGGCTGTAAACTGCTTCTATCTGGATCTTCATGTTTTCATCTTCTTCGTCTTTAGCTCTGATAAAATCCTCCGACTTCTCTTCTTCCTCTGTTTTTACCTGCTGTCTCCACATGTCATCAACATTTACCGAGCTGTTACAGCTCAATATAACGCTGAGTTCAACTCTTCACAGCAGCAGGCCACGGGACACGATCGTAGCTACAGAACAATAATAAAGTTAGCAGCAACAGTACTTGAAGACTTCAGGTAGCGTCTGCCGGCTTGCCTTCAAAATAAGAGCCTGGAGTGATCTGCTTCTCAGCACTTACCGCTGAAGATTCAGTTGGAGCTTTTATTCTGAAGGCCAGCCACTAACGGAAGCGAGTTTCTCTCTTCACCGGAAGCTAAAATTTTCCGTGCAGCCATGTTCTATTTCGTGTAAGCTCCGCCCTCTAAGGCTATCGCAGATGGGTACCCCCGCGCGCGTGCATTCTGAAGAACCAATAGTCTACGCCCACGTACAGTGGGCCCCACCTCGGTCCGTATAAAAGGGGAGGACGGACGTGAGTTCAGCTCCCCTTTTTCTTCAGCTTCGGCATTAGACTTATAACCATAGAAGACGCCCATACATGTAAGTGCTATGATTCCTTTTATATTGACATGGAATTCGTGTCCGGCGCCACCGAGCTATGATCCACATAGCCGTCCTTTCCGGGCTGCTCGGGGTTCGGTTTTCCCCGGCACAACCCGGTTTTTACTCCGGTCTCCTTCCTCGGAGAAGGCTGACCGTGGTTAGCTAGCATGTATTTTTCCCGCGGGTGTCCCTCCGGTGCGGTATTATGCTAAGCTAAGGCGCCGGACATCTTCGGACATCTTCATGCCTCCACAGAAGTCCCCGTTTTTCATAGCCGCTACTAGCTCACTCGTTACACGGATGTGGTAGCTAGTAGYTAAGRCCTTCAGACATCGACGTTTCCAGCCAGGACTGGACTAGAAGCTTT